CTCTTCTTCATTGGATCAAATCTATCTCCTCAAGACCTTCCCGTTTACTGTCAAACAACTGCAATAATAGAATTGAGTTCTCCATTTAACAATATAAAGTAGTTTCAACCATGTTCTACCATCCATTTATTAATAGAGTACCGGCATCATTTGTTTAACTTTGTATCGAGACCTGAGGATGTTTTGCATATTGTAGAAAGCGAAACCGGTCGTCTGATAGTTAAATTAAATTGATTGTGAGTAAGTCTTATTTATTATTTCTTTACCTATTTGAAATGGACTCACACAAGCAACACATTCATGATTAATAATAATATTATTATACAATTATATTAATATTTGACGAATGTAATTCTAGATAATGATAATAGGATTTTATGCATCCAAATGAAATTAAAAGTTACTACAGCTACAACTAGATAATAATTTGATTATATTAAGATAACATATTTTGTATTTCAGTATAATAAATACTCACATCTGCTAAAAAGTGAAGTTTGTCAAAATTTTGGCAGGCAAACAACGCTTCAAATAATAAAGCAGCTGGTCCTGGTTCTAAGTTTTCACAAGTACCAGGTTGTTTAAGCATTTTCACTAGATTATCCAGGGCTTCAGATTTGTTCCACAAATTATCCTAGAAAAAAAATGAAATTCTAAAAATCATTCATTAGGATGTTATTTTTTTGTCAATTAATAAATATGTTGTTTTAAATAGTCTCGTTTTCAGATATATAAGAGTAAATATATTATTCGCCAAAATTAACACTACTAGAAGTGAATATTGCATTTATTTTTTAATTTAAATAATTTACATGTTGAAAATAAGCACCAGTACGGAGCAAATAAGCTTCATAAAGATTTCGCAGTTTATCTAGTATGTTTATAAAGAGTGGTTGGTGTAGGTATTAAAAACAAGTTATTGTCTGCTGTAGTAGTTGTTCTATATCTGCTGGTAGAACTTCTTCTTCTTCAGTGCCTTATCCGATCCGGATGTTGGCGATCATCAAGGCTCTTATGGTTTTGTTGACTGCTCTGCAAATAGCTCTGCGGAGGTTATCCCAAACCATTGTCGGAGGTTTTTCAACCACAAGATACGACGGCGTCCCGGTCCTCTCCTGTCTAATACTTTACTCTGCATAACGAGTTGAAGAATGCGATATATTTCTTCGTTCCGCATCACGTGGCCGAAGTACTCAAGCTTACGTTGTTTCACTAAATTAAGCACTTCTTGTTCTTTTGTCATGCGCTATAGGACCTCAACGTTGGTGACATGATCCAGATACGATATTTTTAGTATCCTCTTTAGATCTGGGTTTGTAAGGGCTTCAGTAAATATTTCCTCAAAGCATATATTAAAAAAAATCGGCGAAAGCACACAGCCTTGCCTTACACCTCGCATGATCTTCACTTGCTCAATCAGCTGGTCTTCGACCTTGATTTGAGCACGCTGGTTTCAGTATAAATTCATTATGATCCAAGTATCCTTCTCATCCAATCCTACTCTTTGTAGGGCAGCGACCATCTTCTGGTGTTGACAACGGTCAAACGCCTTATCGTAGTCAATAAAAGATTTTTATTATAAATATTATTATAAATATTATTATATATATTATTATATATATTATTATAAATACCCAATTATGTTTCTCTTTCTGCTCTCTCTTACCTAAAGCATTAAATATGTAATGATTATGCAGATTGACTCCCATATAAATTTGTAACGGCGAACGCGTTTATAGAGATATAACTACTACCGGTAGTCCCACTGGACTGTCACACCCGTTTTTTTTTTTCTTGGTAGTATTACAAATGTTGACAATAGCCATTCCTCTGGGATATTACCTGAATCGAATATTGCGTTCAATAGTTCAGTTAAGTCCTTCGCGCTCACGTTACTTATCACCTTAATAAGTTCAACGGGTATTTCATCCGAAGCTGTCACCTTACTATTTTTAGACTGTTTTAAAACTGCTTTCACCTCGATGTCTAGTATTAACGGCTCTGTCATGCAATTTATTTATGGAAGGTTACCTCGGTAGTCCCAGAAGCGATTGTCGTCGCTAGGTTTCCGTCTTTGTTTATGAGGAGGTATGTGTTTCTTCTCATGTATTGACCAGTGGCTTCTCGAATCTTTTGGTGGATATTTATATAATCGTGTTTCATTTGGAACTCTTCGATTAGTTTACATTTTTCTTGCATTCATGTCTCCTTGGCTCTTCGAATTTCTTTTTTAATTTTTTGGTTGATTTCTTGGTATGTTTTTGCGTCCCTGTTTCTCATTAATCTCCTTTGGTCCATTATCTGTAAAGTGTCATCAGTCATCCATTCTTTATTTTTTACTCTTGTTTTCTTTCCCATATGTTCTTTTCTCGAATTTAGCATGACGTCTTTGATATAACTCCAATTTTGTTTTACACTCTGTTCTTGTTGTTTAGCCGTTTCTAGTTTTTCTCCCATTATATCTTTTACGTTTTGACGAACTATGGGGTCTTGTATAGTGTCATAATACAGGTTCTGTTTAGGTTTACTTTTGATGCGTTTCTTTAGGTTGAGTTCTATCTGGCTCACTAATGGGTTGTGTTCCAATGAGACGTCTGCTCCAACTTTGGTATTGACTATGGCAGAACTTCTGACTTAAATATTTATTTCTTCAGCATGCCCCAAATGTATGCATTAGATGTTCATATCAGGTGAGTAAGCTGGATGCTCGAAGTTTGTTGCATATGAAATTATTCTGTGTTCAAAATATTCGTGAAGTAAGTCTAAGAAACGTGTAGCTGTATGGCTCGTTGCACCAATCTATCCAAACGTAAAAACGCAAAAATCTCTAAAATCAAAGGTGTACGAACTTTCTCTCTGTAAAGCTCATGGTTAACAGTAGCTAGATGCTCGATCTAGTCGTTCTCATTTCAACAAAATAAGAACCAATAATCCCCTCTGTAATGTATGTCCATTATAGAGTGTTACCATCATGTACAAACACTTGTTATGTATCAATTATTAATATGTAATACAAATAATGTCTATTTTTAAAATCCCTATAAATTTCATTATAAAAAAGTTCCATAAACAATACATGATCTTATTGAAAAGTCTATCGTCCTTATCTGGTCACTTATTTTTTATATACCTATACGTTTTCCATGAATATCGATATATGAATTTTCGATTACCCTATAATCCTGTCATTCAACCGCAACATATCGTACATATTACACTTTGTTGGTGTACACTCTAATTGCTGATAGGTTGAATAACCTTTTGGGGTTAGTCACCATATGATGAAAAATAAAAGTAAAATGAAATTATAGGCTTTCGATTCGTGGATCAGATTAGCGAATATCTAGAATAAAAATCACCACCTATAATAGATATATACGAAAGTTTGAAAACTGAGTTCCGTAGAAATAAAAGTATTATAAATGTAGGTATATTAAAAATCTATTACTTATTATATTCAAATTTTTTTTTTAATAATACGCAGTAATTTAAATTAGTTGTTAACTTGTAAATAAAATATTGTAGTAAATACATGTTAAATATTTTGGTCTAAGATTTGCCACCAAAAGTACTGACTTTTGGTAACTCGAAAGGGAGATATCTATTGAAAATATTTTTTTAGTCGTAAATAAATTAAACTTGTGAACCTAGTAAACAAAATTGCAAAGTTTCGAGACTTTTGTGCTGACAAAAGTCTGTATATGTACTTATCATTAAAGAGTTGCCACTATGTCGATTTTGGGGAGTTATCTAAATGTTATTTACAATTTTTGGGCTAGTTTTTAAGCAGTAAGGACACATCGCTTCCCTAGCGTAAAGCATTTTCAGCTAAGCGTGATCTACATGTTCTTCCATGTTTCATTCAAAAGAAACATATGATATACCTTTAGACGTTACTCACGTAGCATTTACACCTTTGAGTTAACTTGTGACGTTTTTTTTTTCTGTAAACTTCAAACGTGTTTGCGAATTGTAATCTGCAGCAACGCACATGAAACCCTATCGAACCCATGCGATCTCTACTTTATAAGAAATACCACCCTACACTACATTTCGCCTATTTTGTGAATTATCATAAATTAATCCTCCTTTTTATAATCGTGATATTAGGATTCATCTACGAACTAGAATGTTAAAATGCCATGTATTCAGTACTTTGCTTTACGGTGTTGAGGCATGGACTCTTAAACAGAGGAATGTCAAAAATCTTGAATGCTTTGAGATGTGGTGCTACCGCCGTATACTAAAAATAAGTTCTTCTTCTTCTTCTTCAGCCTTCATTTATCCAATGTTGGACATAGGCCTCCTCCAATTGCTTCCACGCTTTCCCTATCTTTTGCAATTCTCATCCACTGCTTTCCAGCTACAGCAGTTATATCGTCTATCCATCTCTTTTTAGGTCTTTCTACGCTTCTTTTTGTTTCTCGAGGTCTCCAGAATGTCACTTTATGAGACCGTCTGTTGGTGTCTTGTCTTGCTACATGTGCTACCCATTGCCATCTCAATGTCGCTATTTTTCGCATGATGTCGGTTACTTTAGTTCTTCGACGTATTTCGATGTTAGGAATTTTGTCTCTGAGGTTTATATTTAACATGGCCCTCTTCATGGCCAGTTGAGTTACTCTTAATTGTTCTGCCATTTTTCTTGTCATAATTTCCAATCCATAAGTGGCAACTGGTAGTATACAAGTGTCATAGGTTTTTGGTTTTAAGTGAATTGGGATTTTTCTGTCTTTTAGAATGAAGCTCAACTTACCAAAAGCAGCCCATGACAATTGTGTCCTTCTTTTAATTTCTAGGGTTTGATTTTCCTTTTCGTTTTTAATTGCGTGTCCTAGATATATATATATATATATATATATATATATATATATATATATATATATATATATATATTGTTTTACCTTTTCTATATTGATGTTATCTATCGTGATGTTTTCTAGGCTGTTGCTTAATATTAATATTAAAAATAGGTAATATATAATATATATATATATATATATATATAAATATATATATATATATATATATATATATATATATATATATATATATATATATATATATATATATATATAATGTATTAAAAAATAAGTTGGGTGGATAAAATTACAAATGAAGAGATAATACGCAGAATAAATAACGATCCAGAAATTATCATGAATATAAAAAAGAGAAAACTTGAATATTTAGGCCTCCTGATGAGAGAACAAAAGTACACATTTCTACAAAATATAATGCAAGGAAAGATCCAAGGACGCACAAATCCAGGCCGCAGAAGAATATCCTGGATGAGAAATTTAAGAGAGTGGTTTGGCTGTACCACTAACGAACTATTCAAAACAGCAGTAAATAAAATTAGAATAACCCTAGTGATATCCAATCTCCGATAGGAGAGGCACTCAAAGAAGAAGAATCCTCTTTTTGTATTCAACAGCAGTTAACAGCGATAGTCCTCCACAAGTACCTGGCTAACACTTTCATTTCATTTTTTTTCAGCGGTCATCAAACAATTAATAATTTTCTGATGGTACTGAATAATTATTTTTACTTCACTCGTGTTGACCTTGTTTTGCGTCACCCAGAGAAATATAATATACTTCTACGAAGAAGGTTGCGTTTCGATTTAATTTG